AAAAAAAAAAAAAAAAAAAAAAGATGGGACTGGAACAACGCAGGTTTCTGGAATGACGGTGGTGACTGTGTCACAGGCAGCAACTGTTCGATTAGCAGCATGTGCCCGTTTTTACCCGCTAACCTTAACAAAGACATCATAGATACTGTAGATCTAGAGAAATTATGGAGAAAAGAACATTCCTGGGGGCCTCTGGCCTAAATTCAGCCTCAGCTGGAGAAAGATTTCACAGGAGGTCACATCCAACATCTGGCATCTCCAGGAGCCCAGCTCAGAAAGAGAAAGACTCTAAAGGCGGTCTGGTCAGAGAACCATTAATCCATCATTTTGAAGTGGTTTAGCACTCAGCTGATGATATGAAATGCTGCCAAATTGGAGAGAGAGGGAAAAAAAAGAACAAATTAACTTGTTAAAATCCTTCCCCAAGTGAGAAACACACTTCCATTTCAGAAGGTCTTTTAGTCCGCTAATGCGTGTACAGTGTGTACGGACATGTCAGGCCAGCGGCCACAAGAGAGAGACACACGATTAATCCAGCAGTCTGTCCTTCAGAGAATATATGAGAGAGACATAGATAAAGAGAGTTCGGTCTGTTCTGGTCCCATCCGTTCACTGCAGTCCCTTGATTCACAGACCGGGACGAGACAGTGGTTGGTGGGTACAGTTCTCTCCTCTCTTTTGCACTGGCAGCTGCTGTCTTTCACAAGGAGGGAGGCGTATAGAAAAGGGGCAAGCGAGGGGGAGGACGCCCCCCCGGTGAGTCTGCTTTACCGCTGGGTCTCGCTGCCAGGCAGGGTGATGTTGCCCAGGTGCAGGACGGGCAGAGGGTGGGCCTCCGTGTTGAACACCCAGTTCTCAAGAGGCAGCAGCTCATCGCTGGAGAAAAGTAGATAGAGATACCTACAAAAACACACACAAGGTTCATACATTTAAGCTGATACTGATACCAAACTGGGTCATGGATCTGATGTATCTAATTCAAACACATCCGGTGATGGGAAACTGCAGTGTTTCAATGACACCAGCAGGCGGCAGTAATGGCTGGCTGTCTTTCCACTCCAATTTATTTTGCAAATCCCACTTTGTTTAGCTGAGAGTCACTGTTTTTCACAGGTGTAGCCATATGTTGCATAGTTATGTTAACCATTACAGTAATAACTGAGCATTATCACATTGTTTTATATACAATAATAATGTGTATTAGCATAATGAACTGAAACGGTTTGTGTTACTATAGCAACAGAGCTTCAGCACATTGTATTTTAGTAAATGAAATTATTTTTACTTGAGCGTTTCAGCCAGGAAGAAGCTTTGCTGGACGTCATCGTAGGTGGGGTTGGAGGAGTAGACATCTTTAACACCAGAGAATCCTCCGCTTACTCGGCAATATTTATCTATAGCCTGCAGAAAATACAGAGAAAGTCTGGAGTCAGTAAGAGCTTTCGTTCTTTTTTTTTGGAAAGAAATGAATACTTATTCAGCAAGGATGCATAAAATAAATTAAGCAGCACAACTGTTTTCAGCATTGATAATAATTAGAAATGCTTCTTGAGCACCAAATCAGCATTTTAGAATGATTTCTGAAGGATCATATTAAAGAAATAATATTTCACAATATTACTGTTTTTACTGTATTATGCTACTGTATATTTTTCAAAAACATTACAAAAAACATACCAACCCCCAAACCTTTGAACGGTAGTGTATATATAATATTACATATAATAATAATAACATATTTGTCCCCATGACAACTACATTGTTTATTTTTTGGATAATGTTTATATTTTCCTGAATTTTGTTTGACTTTTTCAACTGAATTGACTATTTCTTGCAAATTTGTGAAAAATAGTGAAGGTCCACTTGGTAAAACACGTTTTAGTTCTTAATATATTCATTATTGCGGCTTAATGTGAGAAATATCTTCACAAACGTGATGTTCTGGAAAAAAGAAGAAAATCTTAAAAAAAAAAAAAGTTTCTAATAAAGTTACCATCCAACTGATGAGTAACTCAGGCTAGCTCAGTTCCAGATGTACCATTTCCTGTGCTTTAGCCCAGAAAGATCATCTATGCAGTATGTGCTATATCAAGTGAAACCCTGTCCTAATCACCACTTTATGACTGCAAATCAAATCAATGCATGACTGTGTACTCGCAGTAATGATGACAAGCCAAAAATAGAATATATATGAAGCCGCTCTATTTTTCTGGCCCTGTTCTCCAAGAACCAATAATGCTCCATTAGTGCTGTTCCAGCCTCTTGCAGGCAGGAGTGATGCAAGCCATCTGTGCCAGGAAAACATGGCATGATGTGCTCACCTACCTGGAGCAGAACTGCCTGAAACAGCTGCTACACTGAGGACTCACCTCACACGGTTATAACGCAACAGCAGCTGGCCTGATCCAGCCTCCAATTAACCCATTCAACAGAGATTCACTCAAGACTTGCAGCTTCATTTCCTCTACTTTCCATTTAGATTGCCTTTGCATCATCTAATATCTTTAAAAAGGCTAACTTAACACTGCTAAGTATAATCTTTAGCAAATCTAATTTAAATCTAATTTAATTGAGGGCTGTGAGCCAAAATTTAATTTTGCAATCTATCAAACTATATTATAAGAAAATATATAAAATAAAAAATAATAAACAAATGTAAACAATTTTTAAACATTACTTTTAATCTAACTGATGAATTGACGATATGCCCCAAATTTTTCCCTTTCCATGGCATGTTGGGCCAAATCAAAGCTTATCACAAGACAAAGTTTGCCCAAAGGTCTTGGTTTGGCCATCTATAGCAGCCATTTATTGGTTATCAGCTAATTCTGCCTGAATGTTAATATCATTCCTAGACATAATTACATCATTTCCACCATAAAACAACATATCTGTGAACGCTATAGCAGTTCAAATAACCAAACTGTCATGAAGTCGAAAAATACCAACCAAAGCCATTCATTTAACCTCCAACTGACCATCTTACTTCACATGAGATATGGTGAGAACTGGTGAGAAAATCTTAACCGATCCTGGAGATAAGAGTGGACGTCAAACAGATAAACACAATACCGTTTATCTACACGAAGAACAGTGATAGGAACGCAAAGAGAAGAGACGGTGAGACTCTGAGATCCTGGAAAGAAATAGGTGCACAGAGAGAGCTGGAGACAGAAAATGATAAAATTAGAAGAAAAAAAGAGCCGAAGGAATTTCGGTGACTGGGAACAAGTGAGCTCTATTCTGCTCTCTTTCTCCTTTTACAGAAAAGGGAAGAGTGAAAATGAGGGAGGGAAGGAAAGAAAGAGCCCAGGCACCCAGCGGCTCATCAAAAGAAGCCCAATTGCAGTGAAACAGTACTGTACCGGCAGAACAATGACACCCAATCAGAGAGAAACCAATGACACTTCATTCTCAAGAGCACTTTGAAACTGTTCTAAAAACACAAAGACAAACACATTCCCTAAAAAACACAGCCCAGGTCTCGCCGGAATAAGAGTGACATGAAAATAGAGGGAAGGATAAATCTAAAAAACAGTGATAAACAGATACGGTTGGAGAGGTACATGACTACTACGAGCAGCAAAAAGATGCCACAGATAGAGCGACTGGGACTACAGATGGATATCAAAGTGATGAGATATGGGTTTAGATACTAAGAACATCCTGTGCTGTACACACCGTCTGACCTTATTCTGTCTCTGATATCCGGCTGAACTCTGATGCCTGGAGATACCAGTCCTGGGAGAAGTGAGTCAAACTCCTGTTTGTGCTGCTTGTGCCCTAGCTTTGTGCTGGTGATTTTTGCACAGGCACCACTTAAAAAAAGACTCTTCTCTTACACTGATATTGAAGTTCTGGCTGAAACAAAATAAAGTGATCATTTTTGTCATGCTATGGCTGATAGCCGATAAATGGCAGATTTGAAAAATCTGATTATTATGTCTGAAATAAATAAAAACAAAACAATCCAAAACCTCAACAGTTTTTGCCAACGTTGAAACACTGTTGTGATGTTTACTGAATACAGGCATCCCAACTTTGTAAATGCAGAGTATGAAATATGGATAACTATTTATTTTGAGAGTTGACATGAGAATATAGATGGGACCTTTATTATAGGAAAGCACACTTAAAAAGGGCTTTTAAAGGTTTAAATCATTGCTGTTACCCAGTGCTATCGCTTTAAATCGCTATTATATGATGGCAAAAGTAATCTAAAATCTTGGAAAGCAGTTTCTACAATAACACATCCAATATTTAGTTGTAGGCACACTTTCTGAGGATATTCGATAAATTTGATATTCATCCAATATTCACTATCCAGTAAAAATGGATTTTCCAATTAACCACAATCTCCATTGGAATCTCTACAGCGATTTCTTTAAATGATACATATAAAAAAATAAAATAAAAAAAAAAGTCAAATGAACAAATCTGTATGAATGGAGAGAGATGCTGACCTGCACAGCTTCCCAGCCCCACTGCCTGTATTTGGGGTCGTGGGTAAATCTCCACATGTACCAGTACGTCTCGATGACCTCAGGCCTCAGGATATAGTATTTCTCATTCTGTCTCACAGCCACTGCCTCCAGCCCACTGTCGAACTTAAAGGCCTCTGGACCGAGCTTCAGCACTGCAAACAATAAAAGGTTTATGCGTTTAGTACTATTAATTGAACCTTCGGCTCTCATGGTGCTATAAACGTGAAACTATCTGTCTGAGAGCTTGTTGTGACTGAGCTGCAATCCATCAATGTCTTTCAGTCAAGTTGTGTGAAATAGAAACGCCATACTCTGAAAATAACCTGTAGTGTTACCATGGCAACAAAACCATGCTACAAATGAGCCCAAAGATCTAATGCGGTTTTTTATACCCTTCATCTCTCTCTTGTCCCCTCTTATTCACTAACCAGTGCGATCGTAGCTTTCGTGGCAGGTGTGTGCAATCTCTGCTCCGAGCTGCAGATAGTGTCCAGCTTTATCATCTGGCGACCCATCAGCCCCCAGAGCAAACATGCCCCCAGCAAAGCAAGTCAGGTGGCCCATCTTACGCTCCAAGTGGCCATTTTTCCACTCCCCGATGAAAGTAAGGCCACCGTTGGACTTCCGGATGAGGTGGCGCTCGATAGCCTGTAGGAAGAGAGAGAGAAAGAGAAAGAGAGGATGAACAGAGAAAAAAAGACGCAGCACGAAACAACACACAAATTGCCATGGCAACCAGCAGCCCTCACCTCGATGGCATCATCATAGGTCTTGCGTGCCTCTGAGTCTGTTTTATCAGACATTAGCCAGGCCTTCAACAGGTACTCATAGAAACTATCACCCAACCCACCTACTGAGGTGTGATCTGCAGAGTGAGAGAGAGAAACAAGATAAGCCGAGGGGAGGTGAGAATTCGGCTTTTCACAATATTCACTTTTAGTAGATATACACTACTATTTTTTAGATATATACACTTATTATTTTCAGTAAGAAAGACATTAATAATTGTATTCAGCAAGGACACATTAAACTGATCCAAAGTTTTGTAGTTTGTCTGTAAACAGCTTTACTATTTCAAACAAATACTGTTCTTTCTATTAAAGAATCCGGAAAGAAAATGCATCACACTTTCCACAAAATATTAAGCAGCACAACAGTTTTAAAAAAACGATAATAATAAGAAATGTTTCTTGAGCATAAAATAAGCATATTAGAATGATTTCTGAAGAATCATGTGACAATGAAGACTGGAGTAATGACTCCAGTCATGGCTTTTAAAATATATCTTATTAAATATTATATCATCTTTTAAATTATAATATTTCACAATATTACTGTTTTTACTGTATTTTTGATCACATAAATGCAGCCTTGGTGAGCATAAGAGACTTCTTTTAAAAACATACAAAAATTATACCAACTCCAAACTTTTGAAGGGTAGTGTATGTGATTTACAGTCTTTCTCTTCCAGAAAAACAGAACAAAAAAAATACTGAGGACTCATCCGGCACTACATAGATTTCTGTCCAATCAAATACTTTCTAGAATGAGAACGCTCCATCCTAAATAACTGCAAAGCATGGTTGTGACATTAATTATAAAAAGTCCTGTAGCTTGTTGAATGTTAGTTACTGAGGATAAAAAAAAAAAAAAAAAGAGAATAACTCCAATAGTTATTAAGCTTCGAGTAAAGCGAGCTTAATCAATTCTTCAAAATGACAAAACTATCCTAATTAGATACTTCTAAACTCCTAATTTTGTGAAAATGCAACTGGAGCCAAGAAAAGCCTGCTATGATTATATACTGTTATTCTGCTTGCTCAGTTTTGGTTACTCTGTTCAAAGCGCAGTCTTTTAATGTGCCTGAATGCTGCTATAAAAGTGTATTCAGGCTTGACGCCGACCCTCATTACAATAAAAATGCGCAAGTGAGCATGTTTTCGTGGGCGTTTATCCAGCATGGACACACACCAGCACACACCTAATCACTTATAAACACAGCCATAGAGTGTGTTCCACTTTGACCCAGCTAATGACTCTGCAGAGTGAGTGTGTAAAGTGTGAGTGTTTGACAGGCTGGGAGTCATTTGTGCCGCTAATGGATCGTAATGGGAACCTACAACAGAACATGTAAACAATCTGTGTTGACTTGTTGGAGGGATCTGTAGAAATTAAGACAGAAATATTGAAGACATGGACACAAACATAGAATATAAAAAAAAAAAGAGGCACTAGGTTGGAGCCATGGTTTCGTGGTTAGCGGATATTGAATTATGGTGCTCATGTGGGCAATCAGAGTTCGAGTCTATCTATCTTATGTCTATGTCTGTATCTATCTAGCAGTTTCTTTGTCTCTCTATCTGTTCATCCATCCATCCATGTTATATATCTATATCTGTCTGTCTATATGTCTATATGTCTGTCCATTCATCCATCTAATCTGTCTATATATCCATCCATCCATGTTATATGTTTGCATCTATGACATCTGTATCCATTCACCCAGTCTTTCGATCTATATCTGTCGGCCTATCTATCTATCTATGTTATATTCTGTCTGTTTATCTATGATGTCTGTACCTGTATGTCAAATCCATCCACTGGTCTTTCTATCTATAATATCGGTGTATGTTTCTGTTTGTCTGTCTAATATCTGTCTCTGTATGTCTATATCTACCCATCTGTCCATCCATCCATCCATCCACCCATCAGTTTGCCTGACTATCCATGTCTACATCTGTCTATTTATCTGTTTGTCAGCCTAATATCTGTCTGTTTGTATGTATATCTATGTCTGTCTTTGTCTATCCGTCTGTCTGTCTAGCTATCCATACATTCTCTCTCTCTGAGTGACAAGATTTACATGAAAGCTTGTTAACCCATCTAGAGAACAGACAGGACACCACTCCAAAGGAGAACAGGAAGCGTGATGTGTGCAGGAGGCAGAGGAGTGTATACTGTACACTTGCTGCATATAGTATCATGGACGAGTGAGGGAGGAGCCCATTAGCACTGTCACAGCTCATATCTGCCAAGGTTAGCGAGCTGTTCTGCGTTCAGCCTGCTAAGAGAGAGCTAGCAGGGTAAACGTTTAGGAGATGAACTGCCAAAAGCCATTTTGGAAGGTCTTTAGAGGAGACTGTGGGTGGAGAACGGATGCAGTGGTGATGTTTTACAAGAGAGAGGTGTGAACACGCAAGTGACACGGCTAAAAATTGCCTCTTGCAATAGCTGGTTTAAAAAGTGAGTGAGAGCTAAAGATATCAATGAGACAGCAGGAGGCTGAAACACTTTATGAGAGATCCTTTACAGAGACACTGAGACAAAGTAAAAGATGTATTTTATGCTAATGGATGCGAGGGGACTGACCTAGTAGAGGCAAGATGTAGAAGCTGAGATGAATTATTCAACAGAAGGGAAAAATGAGAGGTAGGGAAAAAAACTGAAGTGAAAGTGAGAGAGAGACTGATGTCCAATTACAGACCAAGAGGTGGGACATGTTGGGAATATGAAGGGAAAAAAATTTTGTTTACATTTTCTGCAGAAACTGTCAGTGCAAAAGCTGCTGAAACAATGCTGCAGGTAATTCCCAGAGTGTTGCCATGTGGTTGTCAAGGTATTCTGTGGTTGCTAAGGCACTGCTTACAGTGCCAATTCAAAAGAGCCCAGGTCTGTCCCCAGATATGGCTCAGATGTCTCCTTAAATTGAAAAATGAAAGATAAAAAAAGAAAAAACATGTATCATTTATGCCCCAAGGACAAACAGTGCAGGATGAGTTGGGTTAAGATTTAATTGATTTTTGCCTTTGCACGCAATACCAATAACTATATCTGGATAGAGCTAGAAAAATGTGAAGTATAAGAAGAAACAGTTCAGAGAGAATGTGTGGATCTCAACAGTGTGAGAATCTTGACAGGTTGAAAACGACAGAGAGAGGAAAACAAGCTGCTCAGAGACAGCAAAAGGAATGGAGAAAAAAAGGTACAGAAAAAGAGACGAATGTGTTCGAGCAGCACAGAAAGAAAGGTGGAAGAAATCGTAATAAATATAATAAAATAATAAACACTATCAATGATTAAGGTGATGATTAATACATAGATGGTGTGGGCTGATGTGCAGTGAGACATAGGAAAAAAGAAAAGTTGTGGCAGTGGAAAGACTGATCGGGTGGAGGGTGGATTTGAGTAACAATCAAAGATCCAGGCAGGAGATATCTACAGAGGCTTGGCCGACAAAAAGTGGACAGGTCATGGATAGAGAATGACGGGTTGAGGAGGAGATGTGGATCTAAAACCTAAAGGCCCCTGGAGGTGAAGCTGTAGAGACGTGGAGAGAGAACTTTAAAGGTGTAGTTCACACAAAAATGAATGTTCTGTCATCATTTACTCACCCATCCTACTTGAATGGACACAAAAGGAGATGTTTAGAACAATGTCCAAGCTGCTTGTGATACACGATCCCCATTCCCATTAATTGTATAGAAAACAGCAGCTTGAACATTTTTCTGAACTTCTTTGGTGCTCAACACACAAAAGAAAGTCATTTGAAATAAAATGAGGGAGAATAAATGACGAGAGAACATTAATTTTTTTGGAAATGTCCCTTTAAGGGTCCACAGGGCAGATGCAGTGTGGGAGAGGGAATAATACTCTGCTGTAATGGCCTGTCACTCACTCCGAGTTTTCATTTAGAAAATAGATCTCTAGTGCACCTTAATTACATTCTACCCCTTTGGACACACACACACAATCACACTTTTCTGGAACTTAGTCACAAAAATAAATGTTCTGTCATCATTTAATCCCCCATCCGACTTGCATGGAACACCCATAGGAGATGTTTAGCACAATGTCCAAGCTGCTTGTGATACACAATCCCCATTCACATAAACTCTATCGAAAAACTTATTTTGCGTTCCACACAGGACAGAAAGTCATTTGAAATTAAATGAGGGAGAATAAATAATGAGAGAACATTATTTTTGGGACCTGTCCCTTTAAGGGGCCACAGGGCAGATGCAGTGCGAGAGAGGGAATAATACTCTGCTGTAATGGCCTGTCACTCACGCCGAGTTTTCATTTAGAAAATAGATCTCTAGTGCACCTTAATTACATTTTACCCCTTTGGACACACACATACACCATCAGACTTTACTGGAATTTAGTCTTTGTGTGCATGTGTGTGTGTGTGTGTGCGCGTTTGCTTGCAGTGGGTTGATCAGGTTTAGCCTTTAGATGCAGGGCACTAATTAAACCTTCATCTCTCTCAGTAATTAAGAGTTGGTTAAAACACAGTGGAGTGTTTTCACTACACATAATTACTAATTACATATAAAGAAAGAAACTTCCTCACATCCCATCTTTATTAAATCTCATTGATCAGAGAGGAGATGAGGATAAGCTGCCAATTGTCGTATTTCACATTTATAGAATAATAAATCAGAGGGATTATGAAAATCATCTGTGTCTATAAACAGGCTTCGCAGAGTGATATTTTGGATCTGAATCTCCTCTTACGATAAGAATATCGAAACAGGGCTCAAAAATAAGAACGGCCGTAACCAGTGTGAGAGTTTCAGATTGCCAAGTTGTCGCTATATCTTACATTTGTTAATCATATACACTATCTTTCAAGTCTGTGGTCATCCACCCCCCCCCCCCCAAATAAATGCTGTTCTTTTGAACTTTCTATTCATTAAAGAATCCTGAAAAAATATATCATGGTTTCCACGAAAATCTTAAGCAGCACCACTGTTTTCAACATTTAAAATAGCAAATGTTTCTTGAGAACCAAAACTATTTTTCTGCTTTATATAGCTGTAATGGATTTCCAGAAATTCAACAAATTATTCAACAAATTCTGGGGGAAGTCGTGGCCTAATGGTTAGAGAGTCGGACTCATAACCCAAAGGTTGCGGGTTCGAGTCTCGCACCGGCAGGGATTGTAGGTGGGGGGAGTGAATGTACAGCGCTCTCTTCCACCTTCAATGGTTAAACGCAGAGCACTAATTCCTAGTATGGGTAACCATACTTGGCCACATGTCACGTCACTTTCACTTTCAAATTATAAATTATTTATTGAAATAAGGCTTAACACAAAATGTTGCCATACAGTAAATTGTGAACCAGACTAGGACAACAGAAAAATATATATTGGATACACTTTAAGTCTAGTATATTAGCATACTTGACCTTCACTTGCATGCTCCTGACTCAAAGCCTTTTCCAGACAATTGTAGTAAATCAGCTCAAAAGGGAAATATTTATGACTAATTATAACTGGTTATGATTAATAATAAATATTTAGATTAGATCTTTGAATTTGTGTGTGTGTGTGTGTGTTAGTTTGCTTGGTCAGCCAGGCCCATCGGTGCCTGGCCCCGGGGGTCATTTACGTCTCTTTGGAATGTGTTTGAAATTCAATGGTCAGACGAGAGTGGTGAAACTGTTTAGCGTCTCCTTGATAGTGGGGGGGAACCATTGGCCATTTAGCAGCCATATAAGTGTAAAGTCTGTGACCAGGACTGTAATTTATATGCAAATGTCAAAAGCTAAAAGGGTCTCTTAAGCCATAATACCCCAAAGATCATGCATGATTCTACGCAGACGCTACACAATACACAGCAAAACTGTCTACATTTGTTGTTTCGGGCCAAATCTAAGGCAGCATTTCATGTATCATTCATGGATAAAGTAGTCCCAGAAAAAAGTTTATAGAAACAAAATTCATGGTGGAGAGAGTCCAGAGAAAATTCTATTTTATTCAGTGCTAATAGGAAATTCTTCCATCTACTTATAAAGCATCATTTCATCTAGCAGTTGTGTGTGCAATCTATTTTTTTTTAATCTATCATAGCATCAAGTTCATGTTGTGGGTGTCTGTAACCCTCTTTTTTTCATACAGTGTGAGAATTCACAAAACGCCTTTTGTGGAAAGTGAGAGTTGGTTTTGCAGCAGAGAGGATGTTAGTGGGAGGTACTCACGCTGGCCCCAGCGTCCTGTGCGTGGGTTCAGGTAGTTGGGGTAAAGCCCGTTGGGTCTGTCCATCTTAGCCAGCAGTTTCCGTATGTGCATCACCTAAACCAGAACACAAACAGAGTTCACAACAGGACACAAACACAAGGGCCGAACACAGTTACACAGCACTCATACACCCAAGCATACCTTCTGATAGTAGGCAGGGTTTCCAGTCTGATACGTCAGGTGCACAAACTCCATGTGCAGCGTCCCAAACTCAGCCAGAATACTGCTTCCAGCTGAAGCCCAGCCCCAGTTACGCCCCACTCCACTGAAACAGACATAAGGAAACACCCACAACATTTGCGTATAGTATGTTCCTTACTAGCCTAAAGCAAACATCCACCTTTATACATTTGCAGCGTGTAGACAATGAGGAATTACAGCAAGCTCATTTAAGTCAAACTGCTTCATTCCCGCTCCAAACAGATTCACTACCGTCCATCATTCCCATCATTCCTCTGTCAAGTCCAATATTCTATGCTCTACTTGTACTTCTCATTTCCATGCAGAATGTATCCACAGCATTCACTTAGTGTGTGTGTGTAGACCGTGAGAGGCTGCTCTACATGCATGGGGATTAATAAAACACAGCGTCGTTTTTTTCCCTCAGGATTAAAGACTCCCAAAATGCGGTGGTCTCGTCTGTTCCTGAGCAATTTCATCTAAACACCTAATTAATTCACAAAAGCCGTGTCAGGCTGGATTTGACCCTCCTCCCTCCTCAAACACAAAAAACCCTTAATGTACATTCACAATGCACTATGCAGATTAATTGTGCCATTTTCATTTCATTCTAATGAAATTATGTGGAAAGTCGAGTTAAACAGGAAGAAAGCCACAGGGACTTTCATAGATGCACAAAGTCTAACAGCTTTCCATTATGTAGCAGCCCCCATCAGGACAATGAGTGGAGGACAGGCAGCATGGGAAAAAGAGGCAAAGAGAGAGAGAAAAAATTGAAAGGACGAAGGCATGAAAGAGAAGGTGTGTATGGAACATACCTCTTCAAATTGACCATGGCCCAAGGGATGCCTGTTGGGGTGTTGAAGGCAGGAAGCAGCTTTTCTGCCAGCTGGACAGCCTTCACCTTAAAAACCTAAAAGAGACAGAGACATACAGAGGAGAGAAATCAATTATGAACAACAAGGGAGACAAGGCAAAGCACACAGGTGGACAAAAAGAATCAAGTCAGCCCAAGGGAATAAAAAAAAAAAACTGTGGGTGAATCACACAAAAATATGCCAGAGGCTTTTTTTATTTTGATTCAGTGTGAAAAAAACAACAAAAACAAGTATAATTACACAATTACATAATGGAAGTGTAGCCTATTCAGGACCATTAAGATTTATTTATTTTTCATAATAATAATTATAATAATAATAATAATGTGTATTACTGTTCATAATGTAAGGCCTCTGCGAATATTCTGATTGGCCAGCTATCCAGTGCGTTGTGATTGGCCGAATACCTCAAGCGTGTGACGGAAATGTTACGCCACTTACCACTGTAAGGCCTCTGCGAATATCGCACAAATGAACGATTGAATCTCCGCATTCCACCGGAAAAACTAAGGACTCTCCTCCCCAGCTATCTACGGTCGTAAAGAAGATCAATGATCAACAGGGCACCTAATTGTCTGGACCTGCTTCCGGTCAAGGCCTGGTCCTTATCCCTTAGGGGGATCTGAACTGCTTAAACCCTAACTATCACCAGGAGAGGAGAAACTCCCTCTGTCTGAAGACCCTTCAAGAACCAGATGTGCAGTGTAACGTTGACCGGCTTCAGCATAAATAAATTAAAATTTGAAATCAGTTCTAATCAGGTTGACTTCGAATTTTCAGATTCGAGTCCTCTCAAAACCTGAATGAATTAATAATAATTAATTTCCTAAGAAAAGTAATCAGACATTACAATAAATTACTTGTAAGACGTTTTTAGAGAAAATAAAATTTAAAAAATGTAAGGTTTACACAAAATATTATGAAGCAGAAATGTTTTCAGCATTGGTAAGAAATGTTTCTTGTGCACCAAATCCACATATTAGAATGATTTCTGAAGGATCGCTTAAGACTGGAGAAAACAATTTCAAATTGTAATGATATTTCACAATATTACATTTTTACTGTATTTCTAATCACACAAATGCAGCCCTGGTGAGAATAAGAGACTTCGTTCAAAAACAAATATCTGACCAACCCCAAACTTTTGAACAGTAGTGTATATTTACTTACTTTACAATAGTGATACTTTTTCAACGGGGTGATTCAATAAGAATTTGAATCACCCCAATGAGAATTTGTTGGGGCAAACGTGAAGATTTTCAATTATATATTTCAAACTGACACAATGTAATAAAATAAATAAATAAATAAATAAAAACCCTATGTTTCTAAAACATGCACCATTTTCTTTACTCAAATCAATATTCTTTTTTCATTTTGAGGTGAAATATGATCCAGACTTGGTCTTCTTGATGGGTTTAGTGAGATTTCACCCCTGCAGCCTGACTAACGCTACAGACTCTGACTGAAGGGATAAAATCTGTCTACAAACTCAGCAGAGAGGAACTGACACACGCACACACACACACACACACACACACACACACACACACACACAGAGTGAGAGAGAGAACACACATCTGAGACAGAATAAATACCCAATGAACAACACACCTGAATGTGTTTACTCACTAACTGTCCAAATAGAGATGATGCACTGGGGTTTGTTTGGCCTCATCATAAAGTTCAGATTTTGAGCCGAGACAACCTTTTCCAACAGCTGCAGTTTAACAACAACTACTGCTGCAGATGGCCACATTCAAAGCAAAGACGAGCCTATCCTTTATGATAGGCTACAATATGACTGAACAACATGTTTTTGTCATGAGGGTGAGTAAGTGATGACAATTTTCTTTCTTTCTTTCCTTTCCGCTTTAGGTGGTTTGTGTCTGCAATAATAATATAAGCTGCTTTGGATAAAAGCATCTCTTGAATACTCAAGTCCATTTAGACACTTTATGAACATATCAGCATAGACACAGAAAGACCGACTTCACCTTTCCAACAGTGCAGATTATTAGAGTCGTCAATGTCAAAAGTACTGTGTCATCATAATTTCGGCGAGACTGTCTGACTACAACTCTGCCATCCCACAAAGTGCTTTTGAGCAAAAATGCCTTGAAAATATCTTTTGCTGATGACTCACAGCCAGACTCCTCTAAACAGGGTAAGATCTGTTGCTCATGTCAGAGCGGAAGCGGTGCGGTTGAGCGTGTTTTTAGGACGGAAGATTAAATGAAGCCGTAGCAGGGAAAAAGGCCTCTGGTTCTTAGACAAAAAAAAGACCATTTTCACCTGAGATTAGAAGCCAATTTACAATTTACAGTAAAAAGAAAACATGCTAAATAAAACAATTTTTGGGAACAAAGAAAAAAAGGCAGATGGGTCATTCCATGTCAACTCAACCAAAGGATATTAAAATATCTTGAATACTTTTAGTTACAGGCATGACAACTTTAGAAAAATAATATTTATGGCACTCAGACAGGTATGTTCTATGCCAGAGGTGGCCAAACTTTTTCCTACGAAGGGCCAAAAATCAAACTTGATTGAGGGCCATGGGCCGAAAATAAACACTGCATTATACTAAACTGTATTCAATCTAAATTTAAGTTTTCATGGTTCCCATCATTTATGAGTTCATAATATTTAAAAAATGAATTAATAAAATGAAAACATTACTCTGTAATCTTCTTAACTAATGCAGTTTTATTTTCAAAGTTTGATAGTTCAATTAAACTTATGGTACAATGAAAACAGAAACACTCCCATTTATAGTGCAATAGAGTAGCACTGGGCGGTATACCGGTTCACACCGAACCGGCGCTGCATGAGACAAAAAAGTAATATAGCCAAAACAACCGCATAGCCGCTCTTTAGTGTAGATGACAATATGCCAATGATAATAGTAAAGAGAAAAGAACGAGCCAACCGCATGTCGGCACACATGATTAACCGCTCACGTGTGACGCGCTCATATCGCGAGGCGCAGTTCACACAGAATGCGCTTTTGTGTTGACAAAGATGCGACGCGGGCAGTGGAATAGGTAAAACATGCAAGAAGATGGGAGTGAACTTCTTTTAACTTGAGCACCGTGTTTTTATAATGCCATTTCATGCATGCGTTGCTTCAAGAGACGAGAGAGCAACAGTCAAAAGCGTTTGCAAAAATGTTTACATAGAAAAAACAATGGAAAAGCAGCACAATCTAATAAAAACCTGTAAATAACTACTACTGTATGTCCCTATTTCATGTTCGTATCATTGGTGACAGGCTGAAAGCTGCTGTTCATTGTTTTCACAGAATATTTATTGTTAATAGTCTACTGGTGTTATACCTTCAGAAGTCAGAAAGAGCTTTATTACCAAGTATGTTTACACAGACAAGGAATTTGACTTAGTGACAGGAGCTTCCAGTGCAGAAGAAAGTATGTGGACATAGTGCAAACTAGTTCAGCAGACATGGGAATTACACAGTAGAGATGGAGTATAACACTTATATAAGTAAAACCTTTTTTTTTATAATGCACTATATACAGAAGTATAAATATAGAGAAATGTAACTTTAAATGACTGTACAGATATATTTACAAGTGTGCAGTTTACAAATGTACAATTTTTGGATTCTATGTAGGCTATAAAGTCAGTCATTTTGAATTTGAATTATATTGTCGAGATTTTTTTGAAGCATTTTCATTGTAGCCTATTTCTAAACATATAACATGTATAAGACAAGTTTGTACAGGATGTAGTTGTAGTTCATGCATCTTTTCTGCTAAGATATTTAACAAGTGATTTGTTTAACATTTACATCATGTTAACAACATGTGTGGTGCACTTGGAATAGAATTTTCTTTAACTAGAGGGTTAATAAAGAAAAAGTTATTTGAATCATGTTGTAGTTACATTTTAAGTTAACTAGTTCAAAATCGCAAAAAAATCTAGAATCGGTCAAACATTCTGAATAAATTGAGATTTTATTTTTATTTTTATATGCGGGCCCTAGTTTGGGCATCTCTGTTCTATGCAGTTTTAGTTGATTGAAAAAAATTAGATACATTTCTAGTTTTAAAATTATTTATTCTTTAGATATTCCTCTTTAAAAGAAAAAAATATCAGCTGTATGCAAAGTGACCCACATTTGGTTTTTGACCACATGTGAACAATTTACTAATTTAACAAATGTGAACATATATTTTAAATGTAATGAATTCCCGTGATGGCAAGTATCTTTCAGCAGTATCTATCACATGATCCTTTAGAAATCATTCTTATTCAGCAACATTTCTTATTTTCATCAATGTTAAAAACAGCTGTGCTGCTTAATATTTTTGAGGAAATCATGCTACATTTTCTCAGGATTCTTGAATGAATAGGAAGTTTAAAAGAATATAATTTATTTGAAATAGAAATCTTTTGTGATATACATTTCTTTACTGTTTAATGAATTTAATGTTTTCTTGCCGAACAAAAGTATTCATTTCTTTTAATAAAAAACAATGTATATACATACAGTTAACTAAGATGTAGTATATGTCTAGAAAGAGAAAAACAAGTAGGGGTTAGATAAGAAAACAATGTTGTAAGTTGGATTTAACCTTGGGTTGTCTACGCAAAAATACCACTGCACATTAGGGGTGCGCACGAATAGTCGGACATTTGAATATTTGGTCTGAAATTATTATTCGAATAATAAAAACACTATTCGAATTTTACTGTGTGTTGATTTGCTGTCCGTAAATGCAGGGAATCCATGATAAATCCTAAGCAGTTATAGCTAAATGCACTGGGTGGCTCTGTGGAGCGTGTTAACAAGTTGATAGTATTTGATCACAGAATGTCGTCATCTGCGTCGCGAAGTTTGGATTTACTTTGATCTAAATGATCTTAACAAGGAATTTGACTTAGTGACAGGAGCTTCCAGTGCAGAAGAAAGTATGTGGACATAGTGCAAACTAGTTCAGCAGACATGGGAATTACACAGTAGAGATGGAGTATAACACTTATATAAGTAAAACCTTTTTTTTTATAATGC